TGCTGAGCCAGAAGTAGTAAGCACTCCAAAGACTTTGGTAGAACATGGGCATTCCAGAGGACAGGAGATCAACTCTATGGAATTTCAGGGACCTGACCTTTGGATGAAGTTTCTGGGGTCCAGTTGCCTGGGGCGTGTTGAGATACAGCTACTAAACGAGAGGCAGGTTGTTTCATCTTGACTTGACCACCCTCACTAGAGAGGCACAGAGCTTGGTGATAACCTGCTTGGATCTTGGAGGCAACATAGGTACTACATTGAAGCATGTTATGCCAACCCGTTTACCAAGTAATCCACAAGATCACCAGCTCTGAGCGGGCCCTGGGGCCAGAAAAGGCTCAGCAGCAGGCAGAAGTGGTTCAAGCTGCCCTGCTGCTTGGATCTTGAGACCCGGCAGACCCAGTGGTGTGGGAAATGTACCAAAAGGGAGACCTTCTGCCAAAACCCCGATAAGATAATCACGGTGCAGACCCTTAGGGGATTGAAATAAAACTATACCCTTTTTCTGCTGGCTGTCCTCCATCTGAAAAGCAAATCTTAACTTGCCCCTGGATCCTGGCATGATGCAAACAGACTCCCGCTTGAGGGGGGAGGCTGTCAGCACTAGATGAATTTGCAATCTCTAAGAACTGTCAGTCACAGTAGTGGCTAACATTAGAGGTAAGCTAAGTGATGTGACACAGGACGCCATGGGCTCTGATCCAGTTACTCCTTGGACCACTGAGACACCCTTGTATTCCACATTAAATCCATTCTGTTAAAGATGGGAGCTGGCTGCATCCTCTGTAAGAGATTTAAAATATAAGGACGACCGAAACTAGCTGCAACCAGATGTAAGGAGCCAGAGGTGTAAGAGGGCAGATGGAGAGAGAATTTGGAGCAGAGAAGTGGGAAGGCAGGTAAGAGGGGTCTTGGAGCTCTGGAGAACGAGGCAGTGTAGTATTGTAAAATCTGTCTTCCCAAATGCAGCTTGTTCTTCAGGGCCCCAAGACCTCTCTTACCCAGGTTCCTTCTTCCCTGCCCCCAAATCCCTCTCCATCTGCCCCCTTACACCTCTGGCTCTTTACAGCTAGTTCAAGAGAGAGAAACCACATCATGCCTTCTGACTCAAGGAGGTAATAGAATCCAGTAAAACCACCACGACACTCAGATACAAAGATTACACTGCTGCTGGGGAGAGAGACGGATGGGAAGGTATTCTCACGAAGAGCGGTTTCAGTGAACAGAAGAGGAGGACACAAATGGCATCAGTGTGGTGAGAGAGCAGGATGTAGACGTCTTGGAAAGGTCGACTGAGAAGGACCCCTAGCAGAGGTCACCCCAGCTAGGGCAGAGGTGCTTTTCTAGACGCTCTCACTGCTCTCTGGATCTCCCATCCTGCTCTGTAAGTATCTAATTCCTCCACTAAACTCAGGACAGGATTCACTTCTGCTCCATCCCTTATCCCCTCCTGCCCTCCAGCAGTCAGCATGGCAGCTGGTGTGCACTGAATGACCCATACGTGAATGAATCATGTTATGCATGTTGGTAGTCATGGAGATATCAGGTCCCCCTTCAAGGAAGGACTTGCTGCCCAGATGCAGAGAACATAGCCAGGAGGCAGATGTAGCTGTCCCCTCTTTCAGGATCTGCTTAAGCAGCCCTTCCCCGTGACTGACTGAGCCGTTCCAGCCACACACAAGATACTGACAGGCAATATTCCAGAGTAACTCCAGGTTGGCCAAGACTTGGGCAGGTCTGGAGAGCAGTTCAGTTTCTTCCTCTGCCTAACCCAGCTCCTTCCTCCCACCTCCCTCACCCCATCTTTACAAATGTGGATCCTGTGAAACAGCAAATAGCAAAATTCAGACTAAGTTTTCAAGATTTCGTTGGCTTTATTCAACAAGTCATGCACCAGGCAGCATCCAATCTAGCATGTCGAAAGGCGCTCTGAGAAACTACAAAATGGGAGACTTTTAGAGGCAGAAGGGAGCAGGAAGTGACACTAGGCAAGAAAACAGGTTGGCTACTGCGAGGTTACTTTCTGTAGGGGATGGCAGAGGTTCATCTGGCAGATTCCTTGGGTGATTTCCAGATTGGCTGGCTTAAGACTATTTCTGGGGAAGACAAAAGTGTAATTAAGTTAAATCTCAGTTTGGTGACGTGGGCTGAGCATAAACAACTTTGTTTTGGGTGGGCCTGTTGTCTTGTTTTTCACATCACATCACAGAAACCATCTGGTACCCAAACTCCATCTTCAGCTTCTGCTTCCAAAGAAGCCATTGTGTGACAGAAGATAAAGGAGCTTGTCCACCACCCGAACAAGACAAATAGGAGATTGGGGCAAGGGGCAGCCAAGCAGATGTGTGGCCAGAGTTCACCTTTCTTACTATGAAAAATATGTGCCCTAGAATTTCATCTGTTCCTTTGCCTTTTTAAGATTCCATTCTTCTGTCAACTTTCTAGTTAAGTTACGTATCGAATAATGTCAGATAAATGAGAAGGGGTTTGCGTTATGCTTGTCAGTCAGAAAGATCAGAGCCCCCTCGAGCTTGGAGAAAGGGTGGTGGTCATTCCACCAGCTCTCAAGGAAGACAGAGAGTGGCTCTGATGCCCAGTCCTTCTCTTCTATTAACTTTATCAACAAAATCAACAAAAACCAGTGTGGAGAGTTCTTCTGAGACCTGAATGTTCACTTTATGATCCCCAAAGCCTTCCTTTCTCCTCTCTAGTAGCCAGGCTGCAGAAACAAGCATTATGGAAGGAAGGAAGGGGAGAAGGAAGGGAGGGACGGAAAAGAGGGAGGGACTGAGCAAGGGAGGGAGGGAGGAAGGGAGGAGCAGAGCATGAGGCATGGTGCTCAGGAAAGGCTCACAGAGCAAAATCTTGATGGTGGAAAAGAGGAAAAGAAGTGGAGTCATTTAGTTCTGGGTGTAAATTCTTGGTGTAGCACATACTTGCTGAGAGAGAACCTAGTGAGTTGCTTTAACCTCTCTGGTTATTAAATGAAGCCTCATTTGTCCACCTCTTAGACTCTCCTAGTCTGTGCTTCAGCCTCTGTGAATTTCCAGAGTGTTCCCTTTGCAGTTACCCCTTCTCCAAGTGCCCCGCCAGCCAGCTACTATATTCCCTTTTACCGTGTCAACTGTGGCTCTTCCTGCAGAACTCAGCTCAGATGTCTCTGCCTTTAGGAAGCCTTCCCTGGCCTCTCAGACTGCTGTGGGCTCCCAGGGAAACCTGAGTTGTCTCAGTTGCAGCACTTACCTCTCTGCTGTGATATCAGTGGACTGCCTGCCGTTCGAGGCTCCAAGCCTTGGACTGGGACTATGGTTTCAGGGTCTGGCACTTCACAGATGTACTATAAATGAGGTTCGATATTACTGAAACTATGTCCGCTTTAATGGCTTGGACAAATGCACAGGGTAGGCATCAACAAATACGTGTTGGGAGGAAGGTACAGTAGGGGAGCAGAATGGTAAAAATTCTTCCTGATTTTAATGATATTTCATGCACTGTCTTAAAAGTCCACAAGATGTCAGTGTTTCCACATGAGAAATAATGCAGCAGTCTGAAACTAAACGTACTCCCACTAGCTGACGCTGGAAGTTAATTTAAAGTGAATATTGATATAGAAATAAGAGCAATTAGTTGATTGGTTGATTTAATTGACTAGGCAGTATACGCACATGGTACAAAATTCAAAAGCGTGTACAATGGAAAGTAAGCCCTCCTTGCCTCTCTATTTCTCTCCCTTATCCCCCAGCTCCATTTCGCCTACCCTAAGGGCAACTGTTTTTATTACCCTTCCATAGATATCCTAAGTATTTAAGCACATAAATGTATATATCAAGTTTTTAAATAACACTAATGGCTGTATATAACTGTTCAGTGCCTTGATTTTTTTTCTACTTAAAACACCTCAGAGTGTTCCATATTAAAAGCGACAGGCTTTACTCCATAAAAAAAATAATATTCCATAGTTTAGATTTAACTTAATGTATTTAATCCAGTTCCTATTGAAGGATATTCAGCCTGTTTCCAATGAAAAATGTTTGGGGGTATTTCTCCTGCTTCTTGCTATTACAAATAGCCCAAAACTTTCCTCATTTTACCTATGACAAGTCTATCTATATTTTAAAATTCCGATGTTTGATATTGTCAGGCAGCTAGCCCTTTGTTGAGGTTGTACCCATTTACATTCCTACCAAAAATGTGTCTTTTTCTTTATAAACTTGCCACAGATGTTATATATTTAATATAAGTAAGTATAGTATAAGTATATGCTTAAAATATATTTAAAAATGTATATTTGCCAATCTGATAGATGAACCGTATCTTATAGTTATTTTTTTTTTTAATTTTAAGTAATCTCTACACCCAACGTGGGGCTCGAACTCATAACCCTGAGATCAAGAGTTGCACACTCCACTCACTGAACCAGCCAGGCACCCCTTATGTTATAGTTTTTACTTTATTTTGTAATTTTTATTTTATTTATTTACTTATTAGAGAGGGTATGAGTGAGAGCGCTGGGGGTGGGGGCCATGTAGAGAGAGGCTCCTTAGGCAGTCTCAGTGCTCTGAGTGTGGAGCTCGATCCCACCACCTGGAGATCATGACCTAAGCCAAAATCAAGAGTCAGACGCTTAACGGACTGAACCACGCAGGCACCCCTTATCTTACTGTTTTTGAAAATACTTTGTTGAAGTGAAATTGACATGCAATAAACTGTACAGGTTTAAAGTATACATTTGATCAATTTTGACATTTGTGCCCTTGTGAACCATCACCACAACCAATATAATGAACATAACCATCATTCCCAAAGGTTTCTTTGTATCCTTTTGTAATTGCCTCCCCCCCACCGTACCTCCCTTCCCACCCATCCCCACACAACCACTGGTTTACTTTGTGTTACTATAAATTAGATTTTATTTTCTGGAATCTTATATAAATGGGATAATACAGCATGCAGTCTTTTTTCTTTCTTTCTTTCTAAGATTTTATTTATTTATTTGACAGAGCAAGTGCACAAGCAGGGGGAGCTGCAAAGGAAGAGGGAGAAGCTGACTCCCCATTAAGCAGGGAGCCTGACTCAGGACTGATCCCAAGACCCTGGGATCATGACCTGAGCCAAAGGGAGACGTTTAATGACTGAGCTACCCAGGTGGACCCTCATTTAAAAAATCAAATCATGTTCTTATTACTGTATTGAGTTTTGTGAATCCTTTTTATATTCTGATACAAGTCTTTTATTAAATATATAATTTGCAAATATTTTCCCCCCTTTGTGGTTTCTCTGTTCATTCTTTCTCTCTTTTTAAGATTTGCTTATTTTAGAGATAGAGAGTACAAGCAAAGGGAGGGGCAGAGGGTTAGAGAATCCTAAAGCAGACCCCTACTGAACATGGAGACTGATGACACTAGATCCTGGGCCCCTGAGACCATGACCTGAGCTGAAATCCAGAGTCAGCCGCTTAACCGACTGAGCCACCCAGGCACCCTTCTATTCATTTTCTTAACAAAGTGGCTTTTGAGGAGCCAAAGTTCTTAATTTTGACAAAGTCAGATTTTATCCTTTTTTTTTTTTTTTAATGGCTCATGGTTCTGGTATTGTATCTAAGAAATCTTTGCCTTGCTGAATTTCAGAAAGATATTCTTCATGTTTTCTTCTAGAAGTTTTAGAGTTTAGGATTTACATTTAGATCTATAATCCATTTTGAGATTGTTTTTGTTTATGGTGTAAGATATGGATCAATAAAGCTTTCATTTGTACATTTTTAAAAAAGATTTTATTTTTTTGACAGAGATCACAAGTAGGCAGAGAGGCAGGCAGAGAGAGAGAGGGGGAAGCAGGCTCCCTGCTGAGCAGAGAGCCCGATAGAAGAAGGCAGAGGCTTAACCCACTGAGCCACCCAGGCACCCCATTGTACATTTCTTATCATGGACGTAGTTGAGCATATTTTCATGTCTAAATACAACTTGTATTTTTTTTCTCATGAGCTCTTTGTTCAAGTCCTTTGCTTGAGGCTAAGTTTGGATATGTAGTTCATGGAAGCAGAATGTGGAATCTGGCAGCGCCCTGCACACCTAATCACTTGCACTGTGCAGGCCTCTTTTTCTAACTCATCCACAGGGAGACCCGTTCTTTACTTTGCACAAAGGCGCAGTATAAGCTAGCAAAGGCCTTGCCCTTGTCCATTTGTCTCTTGTGTGGTAGGCCTTTTGCTTATTACTATTATTATTAGGAGTTTTCTATATTACTTAGCCCTTTCATCACTGTGGTGCGAATATCTTTTTTCCCATATTGTCATTTTCTCACTGTGTATATTTTTCACTGTATATATTTCAGTATCAGAATTATTTTTTTGTAGAGTCAAAAAATCTATCTTTTCTATATGATTTCCATATGATTTCACTAGTATGTGGAATTTAAGAAAACAAAGGAACAAAGGGCAAAAAAAAGAGAGAGGGAGGCAAACCAAGAACAGACTCTTAACTGTAGAGAACAAATGATGGTTCCCAGAGGGGAGATAGGTGGGTGGGGGATGGGTGAGACAGGTGATGTGGATTAAGAAGGGCACTTGCTGAGATGAGTGCTAGTGTTGCGTGAAGTGCTGAATCACTGTATTGTACATCTGAAACTAATATTATACTGTATGTTAACTAACTGGAATTTAAATAAAAACTTAAAAAGAAGTTTAGAGTAGGGAATACAATGCACCCCTAGAGCAGGGAAAACACTGCTGGCTGCCATTTCTGGAAGACCTAATGTGAGCCAGGGACGGTGGTGGTCTCCATATTACCTCATTCAATACAAGCAATCCTCTTGAAGGTATGTAGTATTATTTTTGATAATAATGAGGAAATTAACAATGAGAAAGGGTAAGGATAAGGAAGTTTGTCCAAGGTCATACATCTAGTAAACTCAAGAGTCAAAATTGAAATCAAGGTCTGCCTGCACTCCAAAGTTTATGTTCATTCCCCACGATAATAAAGCAGGAGTAATCCTTTTACCAAAGAAATATTTATTTAGCAGCTCTTTTTGTTCTAGACATTGTTCTGAGTGCTAGTAATGTAAGAGAGAAAAAACAAAGTCCCTATTTTGTGGGGCTCATGTTCTATTGGAGCGAGACAATAAACAATTAATTTTCAGTATATCACCTGGTAAGTACTGTGAAGAAAAATTAGGCAGGATAGGAAGCATGTGGGAAAGAGAATTGCTATTTTAAATAAAATCGTCAGAGAAGGCTCTGATGACATGAAGTTCGAGGAGAGAAGGAAGGGCAGAAGTAAGAGATGGGACTGGCATAAAATAGCTTCTTCCTTTGCTTGTGGACTGTCTGGGAAAGAAAGGAAGAAGTGGGTGTGCCGATACTGAGCTCCGAATTAGAAGACCTGAGCTTTTTTAATTGATTGATTAGCAATTTTTTCCACCTCTGAGCTGAAATTCCCTTTCCTGTAGACAGGAATAACATTTCTTGCCCAGCTTCCCCATGCAGCTGTCATGAGATACGATGCGACAACCCATGTGAAAACCCTTCGAAAATAACACAAGTGAGAAAACAAGACTGGGAGTTAGCTCTTCAACCGAAAGGAAGTCTATGTAAGAATATAAAGAGAATTGTTATTACAGGTGTACTGGTTCCCCTAGATTTCTTTTTTGAAAAGCTGTCGCAGGCTAAAAAGAGACTCAGGCTAAAAGAAATAAGCATACATTTCATAAAAGTTTTCTACTGCAGATCTCTGTTTAACTTGCAGTAGTCAGAACCTGTGTCGCATTTTTAAAAAAAATTCTAATGATTTTTATTTATTTGAGAGAGAGCGAGCACGAGAGAGGGGTGGGTCAAAGGGAGAGGCAGACTCCCCGCTGAGCAGGGAGCCCAATTCCAGACTGGATTCTGGGACTCCAGGATCACGACCCCAACTGAAGGGAGTGGCGTAACCAAACTGAGCCACCCAGGCGTCTGCCTGCGTCGTGTATTTTGACTAAATTTGGCAGGAGGCTCTGGGAATCGAACCTTAATTCTAATCTCCACGTTCTACCCAGGCATTTCCCCTTTTACCACGCCCCCTCAGTCAAACTCCACTTCCCAACATGCACTAGGCTCCTCTGAGTCGGCAGTCATTGTGACGCAAGTTCCACAGCTTTCTGGGAAATGTAGTTTATTTGTTCTCCAGCTACGGAAAAGTCTAAGGCTATGGACTACCACTCCCGTGAAGTAGTGCGGTATTCCACCGCGTTCGCGGCGTCTTCGAACGCGCCGCGGCAGCCATGTTGGACGCGGCCAGCACGGGGGCCGGCACCAGGGGGTTATCGAAGCAGCTGTCACGATGCTGGGGTCCCTGGTGTTGAGGAGAACAGCGCTGGCGCCGCGGCTCCTCCTCCAGCTGCTTAGGTCCTCATCGCTCCGGAGTCATGGAAGTGCCTCCAGCCCGAGTGTGACCACCGCGGGCCGCGGGGAGCCGCAATGGTTGAGGGCGGCCGTCGGGGGGCGCCCTGGAACATCGCCAGTCTTCCTCCCCCATGAAGGGGCAGCCACCTGGGGGCGCCAGGGAGGACTCACCGAGACCTCGTGCCTCGTAGCCGCAACATCGGGACGCTTTCCTAGCCCAGAAGAAACACTCCCGGGACAGGACAGCTGGAACGGGGTCCCCAGCAGGACCGGACTGAGCATGTGGGCCCTGGCCACGGCGCTCGTGGTTCACTGTTACAGCAAGAACCCGTCTAACAAGGGTGATTATCGGGGCAGTCTGGGTTCGAGGAAGACAGAGGTGGGAGGAGTGACCCGACTCCGTATCTTTGGAGGGCGGGAGTAGCTTATAGATTTAGGTCAGCAGAGCTTCAGGCCTGTAGGGACTCAGACATCGTCAGGTTACTGGGGCAGGCTGGTGAACTGGAGGGCTCAGTGCCTCTTAGTTGGATAACTTCCTATCATAGGTCAGCTCCCTTGTTTGGGCATTACTTTGTCCATCTGTACAATGGAAACATTGAGACATTCTAAAATTAGAGTGTAGGCCTTTTATGCACTAATATTCTGCCTGGTCGAATTCCTCTCTTAATTGGTCTCCCAAGAAACTGCTGTGTGTTCTAACGGCAACTATTAGATAGTTTAGGAAAAGTTTTCCCGAGAAAGGTGGCCCAAGAAAGGAGTACAGACTTGGTTTCAGTGCCACCTTTGTCACTGCTCACCCCTTGCTCCTCTCTGGTTTCAGGTTCCCCCCTTACACAGGAAAGAATGATTTCTCAGTACTCTTATAGTGCTGTTATTTTGAGTCTTGAATTCAGCAGTCCGGGTCTGCCCATCAGCCTCCTAGGGATTTTGTTGTCCCTGGTCTCAGGTGTGAGGTGATCTTGCCCAGCCATGCAGTTGGCAGGAGAAGAAAAACAAAGAAGTTGGGTCCTTAGAGACCCAAAGCAACCATGGGGGCTGGCTGACCCAGGTTGGCATCTCACCTGGGTGCAAGGAGTTGAGCAGGAACTGGGAGAGCAGGCAGCCAGACTTCTGGCTTACATGAGTCCAGCCACGCAGGTTCTCAGTAGTTCCTCAGGGTGGAGGCAGGAACCATGGTGTTCATAGGTTTCATGCATCCCAAGCTCTGAGACTTGGGAGCAAGAGTGGGGACTATCTTGAACTAATTTTATCGAGCAGGATGTGGCCAGCTATAAAGGAAGGGTCCTGAACTGGGAGTAAGGACCTCTGGGATCTTGTTCTGGTTCTACCTCTAAGTCCCATTGTGATTTTGGATTCTTGCTTCTCATCCTCACTGGCCCTGTTTCGTCATCTACAAAATGAGGATGTTGAAATAGAGACTCTAAGGGCTCTTCTGACTTAGACATGCTGTAATTCTATAACTTTGGACATTTTTTGAATACCCTCTGCGAGCCCAATTTTGGGAGGTGTGGAACTCTCAACAGCACAGAGTCATTTAAGGAGACAGTGCAGGCAGTTAGGCCTATGGGTCTGGTGAGTGGTCTGACAATGTTTTGTTGGGTGATTGGAGGGCCAGCAGGGTCAGGAAAGCATTCCTGGAAGATAGGAGACCTCTGG